TGGATGGCTCGAGAAGCTGATAGCTAAATCTGGTGTCCATATCGAATTTTAAATAAAAGTAATGCTAAATGATTTCCTCTCGCATCCATTTGTAATAATTATAGTTAATAAATAAATTATAAATATTTTGAAATGGGGAGTTATTTTTCGATCATTCTGTATATCTTTTATAAATGCCATGACTATGCCAGATGGAGGTGGTCATGTCCCTCCATGGTTTCCTTTCCTATATTATCCCTGTTCTGTCATATACATTCATAGGCAGTATAGTAAAGTAGTTCCTGTTGTTTTCGCCAAGGTTTGAAATTTAGTGATTTCGTTCTCTTAGACATGTTTACAAACAAGGTCAGAGAAACCAGATTACCCAGTTGATTTAACCATAGAATTCTTGAGGTTTGGGTGGGTGGGGTGCATAGAGAATTCTTGAGGATCGGATGTGTGCATAGAGAATGCTTTTTGCTTTCTCAAGGGCATTTGTACAAAAATGAACGTAAGGGATAGCTCGTAATTTGAAGTCTCAGCTGAGCCATTTTACACATCAATACCCGTAACACTACCCGAACAGGCTTCTACCTGTTACCACAAACTGCTCAGAAAGACAAACATAAATGCAAAAAGACGTCTACCACTGTTTTATGGATTATGCTTATTTGTTAAATTTCATCACAAACAACTATTTAAACAACTATGCAAACTTGATTTATTTGGGAAGGTTATATAAAAACTACGGAAATGTGGTGGGGTTAAATTTTTTGTATAATTTTTCATGTGTTCTTATAATTGTTTTCTTGAAGTTGAAAACACGGACAATTTTATTTTGAAACACTGTAATTTGAGAACAGTATTTTTTTATTTGAACATGAGCTAATGAAATTTAGAGAGTTGTGTCACTTTAACTGTTTTTATCAGTAGAAGCCAAGATGGCGTAATCCGAAAACAATCGCAGTAATGAAAACTTGGGAATCCAAAATTTCCGGGTTGCCCGACCGGATCCGGCCCGGTATATATATATATTTTTTTAATTTGCTCACGGAGTCAATCTGATTCCAAAATATTATGATATATTGGGCTACGACCTCTTGGAATAAAGTTGGAAAAATATGACACACTGTCACTGGCATATAATTATTATATATATATATATATATATATATATATATATATATATATATATATATATATATATATATATATATATATATTCATATATATATATATATATATATATATATATATATATATATATATATATATATATTCATTTGTATAGATATGAGTTTGTGTCCTTGGGTTTTACGTTTTGCGATCATCAGACAAACAGCTTTAAACTAGTTTCTCTGATGATCCTGCGGAGGACTCTTGATTGGGCCATCATCACAATAGGTATGGAGGATTAGATGCGATAGGCAACAATAAATTGCAGAAGATCTCAAAATGATCGCTGCATTAAAATGTATCTCTGCACTGATATATTATATATATATATATATATATATATATATATATATATATATATATATATATATATATATAAAATATTGGTAAATATACATACATATGCAAAATATATAAATACCCATACATGTATATTTTTAGAAAAATTTCAAGAGGAAGAATCCAGGTAGAACTCAATGTCTAGGACAGAGTAAGGATATAATAAAAGGCTTAAACACTAATATTCCATGGTCATAATTTATTCCATTGAAATCGTAAATACGATCAATTCATCAGACCTACAAATTCAAAAAAAAAACAGAAAAAAACAACTCCGGAAATAAAAACAGAATTTAGAGAGGATGTAAGTATGAGGAGGAGGGGAAAGAATTTTAGGGGAGATGGGTTGGTTCTGAACATATTTAATTTTTAATATTTTTAATATTTTTTTTTAATATTTTTCATATATATATATATATATATATATATATATATATATGAGAGAGACACAACCAACTGGAAACGTCTATAAATCTAAAATGTTTCACTTTTTTGAAGCTTCACCCGAGAATGAGATATAGAGAAAAAGAAGAAAATTTCCCGTATTTTTACGTTTGTATGGTTTAATTTTCATTGGTTAATCAGGTTTCACGTACATTCGACTTGTTAAACAAACGTTATAATTTGTGGTGTTCTGAATTCAAGAAGAGACGACGGTCCCATTCAAATTTTTAAGAAATTAACGAAACCTAACTGAAAAACCGTAAGTATTTCTCTATGTATGTAGTTTTCTATGTGGGATTTAGATGATAATGCGCATGCGCAATTGTGTATGTTTAATAGACGTTATGGTTGTTGATTATAACATTCTAAAATGTTGACTGCTTGAATGATCTTTATCCTCGTCATATACAAACGAAGGATAAAATATTAAAAAAGTCGAAAGCAATGAATAAAGTGTTGCGCTAAAATGCACATCGATTCCTTCTTGAAGACAAACATAATCCTTTCGTAGGTACAAAGGAAAAATGTTGAACAGATCAAACACTTAAAGTTGAAAACCTTA